CCCATTCCTTTGACATATCTATATGTCAAATTTAAGTTGAATATGTAACACTGTTGGGTAGATAATGAACAGAAACTGTAAATTTGATATTATTTTCAAAGTGAAAGGGGTATTACTCTGCCAAAAATCATTGAACCATGACCAAATTCGAACTTGGCTTGGGCATTCCAAAAACATATCCCTATGTCAAATTTGGGTTAAATGTGTTGAACCATTGGGGAAATTATAAACGGAAACTGAAAATTTCATATTACTTTCAAAGTGAAAGCGGCATAACTCTGCCAAAAATCATTGAACCATTACCAAATTTGAACTTGACCTGCGCATTCCTTTGACGCATCCATATGTCAAGTTTGAGTTGAATGTGTTGTACCTTTGGGGAGATAATGAACTGAAACTGAAAATTTCATATTGTTTTCAAAGTAAAAGGGGCATAACTCTGCCAAAAATCATCGAACCATGACCAAATTCGAACTTGACCTGTATTTTTTTCATGACATATCCATATGTCAAGTTTGAGTTGAATGTGTTGTACCTTTGGGGAGATAATGAACGGAAACTGAAAATTTCATATTATTTTCAAAGTAAAAGGGGCATAACTCTGCCAAAAATCATCGAACCATGACCAAATTCGAACTTGACCTATATTTTCTCATGACATATCCATATGTCAAGTTTGAGTTGAATGTGTTGTACCGTTGGGGAGATAATGAACGGAAACTGAAAATTTCATATTATTTTCAAAGTAAAAGGGGCATAACTCTGCCAAAAATCATCGAACCATGACCAAATTCGAACTTGACCTGTATTTTCTCATGACATATCCATATGTCAAGTTTGAGTAGAATGTGTTGTACCGTTGGGGAGATAATAAACGGAAACTGAAAATTTTCAAAGTAAAAGGGGCATAACTCTGCCAAAAATCATCGAACCATGACCAAATTCGAACTTGACCTGTATTTTCTCATGACATATCCATATGTCAAATTTGAGTTGAATGTGTGCAACCGTTCTTAAGATAATGAACGGAAACTGATGATGACGGAATGACAGAATGACGGAAGGACGGAAGGATGGAAGGACGGAAGGACGGAAGGATGGAAGGACGGAAGGACGGAATGACGGAACAGGGTAACACTATATGCCCCGGCCATTACATGGCGGGGGCATAAAAAGAGAATATACATGGTTTAGGAAAAATCCTATCAAAAAGGCACGCCTAGATTTCTTTCTTATTTCGAACAATTTGTATACGATTATATGTTACTGTTATTTTACCCTGGATAATTCATTACTGATCATCTCGAATATCATATCTTAGAATTGGGGTAAATTTAAAAAAGTTTTGTCAGTATTGGAAGTTTAATAATTCTTACTTAGGGATTGAAGTTTATATAGATAAGGAAAAAAGATTATTCAATGATTAACAAAGTTACAGTATATAGCTGACCAACCAGACAATATACATGAGGTAGATAATATTCCATCACAAGACTTGCTTTTTCAATATAAATGATCAGTTATTTTTGAAACTCTCTTATTAAAACATTGAGAGGTAACAATAAGCCAGACTTCAAGTAAGAAAAACCTTAGATGCAAATAAGGAAGAAAACATTTGTTGGAAAGAAATTCGAAAGATTGAAAAAGATACAAAACATAAATTTCCACCATTCTAGAATAAAAAAAGAAACTCTCAGATAAGAAAGAAAAAAAATGAATGTTATTTATTAGATCTAAAGCAAAATGGTACATGAAGGAGAAAAGCCACACAGTATTCTGTAATCTTAGAAAACAGAACTATGTTTCTAAACTTATGAACTCACTATTTCAGAGATAAACGCAACATTTAAAATGCACAAAAGAAATTCTTTAGAGACAAAACATCACTACGAAAACTTGTATAAGTTAAAAGAGACAGAAACGTAATCTCTAAATAATACTTTTGGATCATTTTGGCACTATACCAGAAACTCTCAGAAGAAACAATCAAGCAGTCCATTGAAGGTAACTCTGACATAGCAATGAAATGTTTTAAACTCTCTAAAGAGAATGCAAATTAATACAAGCCCTGAATATGGCTTTACAGTAGAATTCTTTAAGTTTTTTTGCGGAAAAAGACATAGGGGTTTCTTGGTAAGATCTGATAAATTATTGCCTATGCAAAAGGAAGATTATCAGTTACATCAAAAAACAAGGGGTCAAACTTGCATACCGTGAAGGGAAATAAAGATAAACTTTATTTGAAAAAAAATGGAGGGCCTATGTTCACTTTTAGAATGTGGCATTATAAATCGCTTCTGCCTCGTGCATTTCGTTTAAAAATATTTTGCAAATTATTTAATGAGGACCAAAAACAGGATTTTTACTGGCCGATTAATTGGCATCTTAATATGTAGAATTTATATGCAATTGTTATTTTTATACGAGCAAGAATTAATGATCCCTGGTTTACTTCTCCTTATGACTTTGTGCTGCTTTCCGGACACTTGTGTCATGGGATTTCAGGCACCATCTGTAGAGTTCTTTAACTTTGCGTCCATCTATCGTAATATAAAATTGTTTTATACAAAATAGAATCGTGTGTGATTGTGAACGACACATGTCTGATTTGTTCTTACTTTCATAAGGAGCCGTCAAGGCGATGCTCTGTTCACCCTACCTGTCCATTTTATGTGTGAGATACTTTCAATTTCTAATTAGGGATAACAAAAACAGTATTAAAGGTATACTGATTCAGGGTAAAGAATATAAAAAATCACAGTGATTGCTGATGACACAAGTTTGTTTTGGATGGTACAAAAGTCTTTAAGAACATAATGTTGACATTTAAAATTCTATGCTAGGTGTTCAGCCCTGAATATAAAATACAGAGAAAACTAAGCAATATGGATTGATACAAGAAAAATATATACCATTATTTGTCCAGAATAATTGGCATGAAGATGAAGTATTTAGTGTTCTATGGGGTCAAATTTTCTGAATTTTAATCTCTCAGAAATAGTAGACTTTACTATGATTTAAAAATTGAGAAATTTAAGAAAGCTATTGCAAATTGCGTCAAAAAGGTCCTTTTCCCCTATAGGTAAAATTTGTAGTAATTAAATCCCATTGCTCTAGCAAACTAATCATCTGATTTAGTATTCCAAATCCGTTCTTTAGTAAAAATCAAATATAATTCAAAACTTATTCTTTAAAATTTCTATGAATGAATCTCATGACCAAAGTTAGAAAGGAAAAAGCGCTATAACACAGGACTACAAGTATGAGAGACTCAAAATGATATATTTTGAAAATATTTATTAATAGTCTAAAGTTGACATGGCTACGAAGACTGATCAACTCAAAATAGTAAATTTAGTAGTTCTATGATGGTACATGCCCTTCATAGTCGAAATATTTGAAATTTGGTACAGACTTATTAATCAAAACTTATGAAGATATCAATCCATTCTGGAAGATGTTTATACAGTTATTTTACCCTTTCGTAAACTTTAAACCTGAAAACAGCAAAGAATTGTTTTTCAGTCATATCTGGAAAATCCTAGGATAAATTGGTAACTCAGTGTGTATTTACAAAGATGGATTTCAAGAAAGGAATCTGTTTTTAGGAGACCTCCTTAATCAAGATGAGGAATTTATTCTTTGATGAGTTACTACAACCTAAATATTAGAAGTAATTTTTAGAATATAGGGGTATTGTAAATAGCCTAAAAAAATACCAGAAGTTAAAATATTTTACATTTGCCCCAGAAGTTCAACTATAGTATCCACATTCCCTCAAGCCTGAGTACTTTAAATAAAGATTAAAAAAGTGTAGAATCTGATATATAAAGCAATGCAAAATATATAAAACCAGTATCCAAACTCTTTACAAAAATGGAAAGATAATTTGACAGCTTTTTCCGTACCTTTCTTTTTTTCAAAAAAAAAATATATATTTTGGATGCTGTTTGTCGTTAAAAGAGTTACTTTATCATGAAAAAGTACACGGAGGCACGAAAACTCATCTGCTCAATGTAAAAACATATTTGATTACTTTCAATACCGAAATATTTGGACATTCATGCGGGCACAAAAAGCGTATATGTTTGAAATATTATTCCTGTATGTTTCACAGAGAAGTTCTTCCATCTATATACAATCTCTTATCATGGTACCAGGATTATCTTGATGAAACCTCGTGTGTTCATTAAAAATCTGTTTATATTCATTCATAATAAACAAAAATTTCCGATTTTATATCCAGAAAAATAAAAAATCAAACTTTGACAAAATTAAATTCTTTTGAAATTTGGATTAACATTGACAATCATAGATTTATATTATCTAAATTCATTGAAGCAGAGGTTTTTTCCAGACGGACACGAATGTTAAGGCATAAAAGGTCATGTAAGAAAAAACTAAATGGGTCAAGTTGAAAAACACCGTTCCAAACAAAAGGAAAAAGCACACAAACACAAACTTCAAATGCAAGCAATAAGTTTATATTCACATTATAAAATATTATTAATATATAAATGTAAAACAGGACACCAAATTGATATGACATAAATATTATATACACTATCTCTATTCCGATTACATTAAACTTATTCATTCGTATATAAACGAAGCTCATATACGAAACATTCATTCCTATAAAGATAGGTGCTAATAGAACCATTAGCCAGGAAGCGACATCCATATATTTTAATTATAAGTTCATTTCATCTTGTTTTTGTAACAATCTAGATTATTAATCATCATCATCATCATTACATTTAAATCATCTTTTAATCTTCAAGTACCACAAAGTTTCGTCAATATAGTAACAGTTAAGAAATAGTATAAATAATTGTAGGAAACACCAGTGTCCGACATAATGTCATAATTTCATTTTCACAGTAGATCTAAAACTAATGAGATGCAATCACGCGGGCGAAAAAAGCGAAATTTTAAGAATTGGACTTCCAAGGATTGGTCACAAGTATCTAATAGGATTTTTCTTAGTCTGTTCATACCTCCTGAAAATAAAGGTAATGTGTATTTAGTCGACTTACAATCTATAATTAAATAAAAAATTATAAAGATAAAGTTAATCTGTATAAAGTTAAGTGACTTATATGTTAAAAATAACTAAAATAAGATCAAAAAAATGAAGAGGTTGCTTTTAGAGTTCAATATAATGTTTTTGCAAAGGTTAATTTAGATTTTTAGGTCTTTAAAGTAATTGTTAACAAACAATGTCACTGTATGTTTCTGAAGGCAAACTTTATAGCAAACCCAAATAAACGTGAACAACTGGCTAAAATATTTAGCAGTAACAACATTAGACTACGGAAAGTTATATTTTAATCCTTTCCCAGTTCTCTAATCTTACCTGATCCACCAAGACCTCCCATACCAAAGCCACCATTCACCAACCCCTCCCAATGTACCGCCCCGTAATCCACCACCTCCGATGTTAACAACGCCTCCTTAAACCACCGCCTCCAATATGTACCGCCCCCTAAGCCTCCGCCTCCGATGTACCGCCTCCTAAACCACCGCCTCCAGTTTCCACCACCTAAGCCTCCAAGGTTTTCCACCACCTTTTAAAATAATGAATAACATTTCAACTCGTTTTCGTCTCTTTTGAACAAATTGTTGTCTATATGTAAGTAACGATTTGCCAAAAATTGAATGAATGTCCCTTTATATGCAATGAAAGAGAATCAAATCAAGTTTTTAACAATGCACAAGCATTTTCAAATTTATGTTCGAATCGTGTTTTTATAAAAAAATGTGTATGTAAAACAGTATTCAATCATTTTTCAAAATACACCCAAAAAATAAATTTGGTTTTTCATAAAAATTTTAGATGTATCAAAACAAAAACCTAAAATCCGGAAACCTCCTTTAAACCTTTTCCCAAATCCACCGCCAATCCACCCAACCCCCCGGGCCCCCAAAAGACCACCCATACCACCAACCAATTTCCCCACCCTTTTCCCCGACCACCTTTCCACCAAGACCCCTTTGCCTCCGAAACCCCATTACCCCCCGGGGGCCACCATGCCTCCAAACCACCTTTTCCCCCGATTGTCCTTTTACTGCCCCCAAAAAACCGTTTTCAGACAAGTTTTGTTAAACCAGTTTTTTATACGTTTGTAAAAATTAAAATTCATAATATAAATGTACAATAGCATAATAACCCCAAGTTTCATTTTTACTTTTTTTACTTCTGAAAATTTTAGATATAATTTTTTAATATTTAAACATTATATTGATGAATCAACATTTTGTTTAATTTTTCTTGTTATCATTAGACCTACTTCCATTTAGTCCACCATTATTCATGATTCCACCTCCGAGTCCTCCGAAACCTCCATTTCCCATTCCACCACCAAACTTTCCGCCTCCAAGCATAGATCCACCACCAATGCCACCGTTTCCGTTCAATGAACCGCCTCCCAGTCCACCATTTCCAATCATACCGCCCCCGAGTCCGCCATTTCCGATCATACCGCCTCCCAGACCGCCATTTCCGATCATATTGCCACCGAGTCCACCACCATTAAGAATGCCAGCTCCCATTTTTCCTCCGCTGCCACCGAGGTTACCACCTGAAGCATGATTAATTACCTTAATATCTAATTCAGTTAACTAAAATCCTCGAATTAATTTCAAACTTTTCCAAGAAAAACGATTACTAGTAGTTTATTTTGACAGATATTGTCTGTTTCGTTGTTTAAATGCAGTTTTATCATATGAATTTATTGCTGATTATAATGCTTTACCTCCAATTATACCACCGCCACCAATAGCTCCTCCTCCGATAATACCGCCTCCTCCGATAGCTCCACCCCCGATAATACCTCCGCCGCCGATACCTCCTCCTCCGATAATACCGCCTCCCCCGATACCTCCACCCCCGATTATACCTCCGCCTCCAATAGCACCTCCTCCGCCAAGCATTCCACCGCCCATTTTTCTACCACCTCCGATGCCACCTCCACCAATTAAATTCCCACCACCGATACCGGCTCCCCCTCTTCCAAACATGTTTCCTCCACCAATACCAGCCCCACCTCCAAGCATGTTATTGCCCCCTAAACCTCCCCCACCATTAATACTGCCTGATCCCATCCCGCCTGCTCCGTATCCACCTGAATTCAGAAAAATATTTGTTATTTGCAAATGCTATACAGCTTCAGTCGGCTTATAATGATTAACAGATTTTTCAAAATATTTTTATATAAATTGAGCATGCTACAATATGATTTTTTTTCTGTACGTATTTCAAAGAAATCCTATAAAAACTTTTTAGTACTATATATATTTGTGCATGCCATATTTCCAGATGGTTTCTCAGATCACAACTCACCTGTGAATCTACTGCTCCATCCGCTGTTTCCACCAGCACCTGGATCATAAATGGGATTTTGAATATTTTCCTAAGATGATTAAGTGTTCGATTTTACAATGGTGTTTTTAAACTCAGTTTCTTTAAAAATCTTAGTTAATCTTACAGTTATTTTTCTCGGTATTCATTTATATGGTTCATTCATGGTTTTGCATGTAACTTTTTGTTTAAAAAATATTATTATTTAAGTCCTATTAATTATTTCCTTTGAATTTAATCCTTATGTCATTTAAAAAGGATTTCGGTTTTTGATTTCCTATAAAACTGTACATTTCTACCTGAATATTTTTTCTAAAATTCGCTAAAATATCAAAACTTACCATAGCCGGAAGCAATGACGTCAGACACTACCAAGAGGGTACACAAGGAGGCTAAAGTGAATTTTACGGAGTTCATTCTGCAAACAAATAACATTTTACGTTTAAAAGAAATATAAACAATAGCGGAAACCTTAAAGCACTCTTATAACAAAAAGATTTTAAGGCTATTTTTATTGAGAATGAAGATAATTCCACGCCTTCTGTCGCCGCATTATAATAAGGGAGAACTGAACATTTAAAATGAACATGGAAAAATGCATAAAACTTGCCATTACTCTTTGCTTCTTTACACAGTATGAATTAGCCATAATTAATTCCAATAGCTTGTGAAGACATTGCTTGGTCTGATGTATAAAATAGAGGAAAACTGCGGCATCCCTTAAGAACGCAAAAATGCTAAAATATTGGTTTGATTGACGGTAGTCGTAGCACGCTTCCAGTCTATTTTATTTATTTTGTATTCATTGCGCAGATTTCATCATTATAATTTCTGAAGAAAATAGATCACTTGAACTTATTGAAAACAAAATTAAGCCTGGCCATGAAAGGTGCAGAATGTATCATGAAAAAAGATTGTTCAGTTTTCAGTTGTAAATTACTTTGAAAATGGCTTCTATAAAATACAAATTCCATAATCAGCCACGCATATTCTTAACTTACTTCTTCAACTAAATTATTGTCAATATAAAATTTCATTTAAAGTTGTTGCACAAAATTTGTTTGATTTCAGTTTCAATTACAAATAGTGGTTATCATTTTTTTAAACTGGTAAACGAAAGTACTATTTACACATTTCACAAGTTCATTGTAATTTATTGTATTTGTTTTGACTGTATTGAAATTAAGCAGAAACAATTTTTGGTATTACTTTTGTCCATTCACCTGCAACCAACCGGAAATTTTTATTTGAAATCTAAATCTGTTAGCATTGCTTCGCAGTTATTTCATTGAAAGAGCTTATAAAAATTCTATTAAATGCATACTTTTTTTTTACAATTTGAAATAATCTGACTTTTACAAAAAACTAGATATAATCTAAAATAAATTTCATGTTGCGTTTTGCCTTTTAAATTCAAAAAGAAAAAAAAAAGAAAAAAAAACACTTAAACAGATTTACATTTTTTAGAAGCTATGATTTTTTAAAACAGATACGTGTTGAAAAATGTTTTATTTACGTATAAATTACCAATATTCTATAATTGTTAATGCTAGTTAGAATACACAAACGTATTCACTCCAGATTGTAATAAACGTTAAATAACTTTGCCCAAAACTTATAGTTTTACTTATCTAAATGATTTTAATTTACTTGTGCAGTAGAAAATTTCACTTACCTGTATTATAATGGTGGACAGATATCCAAAACAGACTAGTTTCACAACTGTGCCCTTTTCAAGCAAACTTTCCAGTATTTATACCCACTCAAGTTCAACAGCTTCGTGTCCAACATCTTCTTCAAAAGATTTTTCATAATTTCCTTTATTTTATTAAATGACATATTTATGACCGCAGTACAAGATATTTTCAAAAAGTACATCTTTCTTGAAAAATAAAACAGTATAAAATGCACGGTTTTTTCGTCATTATACGATCAGCGCACTCCATCAATGTTGTTGTTAACACAACTGTCAAACATAGCGTCGATACTCGCACGTTTACAGCTGACCGCATGATGGGTCATAACTAATTGATAAAAAAAATCAAAGCAAGCACACTCCTTGCGCAATAAGTGTTTGGCAAAAAGCCTTGTAGTTGTATATGTTAACAAGACAATTTGAATAACTATCATGTCGCCAAGCCGAAGATGATCATAAATCTAGTTATTACCGACATAAATCAGCTCTAAAAAGTGAAAACTAAAAAACGCGGAAATTTTCGTAGTGTTTTATTGACTCACAAAACACGTTTCCGTTTCCGAAGTATCAAAGAAGGGGGACTAATTCAACTCTTGATAACTTGTTTGTTTGTCTAGTTTGATTTATTTACATAATAAAATATAAATAACTAAAGATTAAACAATATCTAAAACATAAAACGACGCAACTACATAAGTCACTTTATAAAATACATTAAAGGTTTAGGAAAAGAAAAAAAAACAAAGTTATGCCTGTATCATATATTATGATGAAATAGTATCATATATTCTACATGCTTAATAGATACAGTAACAATAAATGTGTTATATCTATTCTTTCATTTGACTGTAAATGTATTCATTTCTGTGAACTCTACCTTTAGTTTATCAATTTTGATTTTTTTTATTATTTGTACACGTATCGCCCATCACTAAACTATTTGGTTATATTGTAAAGTTTAGTAAATAATTCAATAAAGTACTTGAAAAGTTTGTATTCAAAATGGTATCTAGTTGAGTGCATTACATGGCAAATATTACAACCATGAATTTACGTTTTGCTGTTGAATCATCTAAAACCATGTTCTTCCAATTTATAATATTCTTATAATCGAGTGATCAATAATATCAAATTGCATTGATATTTTTTTATTTACTTTGTTTTTGCTTTTTGCTTTTGTAAATTATTATCAGCATCATCATCATCGATTCTTATTCTCAAGTATGTTCTTTTCCCATCAATCATCATCGTCATCAAAAACACCATCACCATCGTCAAATTTTATTCTTATATTGTTTTTCGTACAGTTTTATTACCATCCTTCTCCTCCTCATCATCATCATAATTGTCATTATTATTATCATCATCAGCAGCAGCTGCGGCAGCAGTAACAGCAACATCGGCGGCAGAATCGTTTATAAAGATTCATCTATAGAAATACTAGGATGAAGACAATAGCACATATATATTGTAATTATCTTATTTTCTTTTTCTCTGAAAACAAATCTCTAAGTAGACATCTTGCACAGTGTATTTTTTAAATAGTACGGACATGCATGTTGATGGAACAGAGTTATAAAGTTGATGATCTGCAATGAAAAATCACAATTCTAAAAGTCTATTATTTATAAGGACCTCATATAAATTCGTTCTTTTCGCTTTCTCAAAAATAAAACATACACCTGACGGTAACAAGCCAGCTCTAACTGCCTCAATATCTAGATCACTCCTAATGGGTCCGTCACATCACGACGTTCTGGTTAACTCTCTCTGAACGTTTCTATCGTTCAATTTTTGAACGTTCTTTGATTAACGTGCGCCTAAAGCTTAACTAGCGTGTGTCTAACGCACAAGAAGCGTGTAACAGCGACCAAGTAAGATATGTCTTAAACCCATAAGCGTGTGGCGCGGGACAAACTATTTGTTAACGCCTGACGAGCATTGTGACTGACGCTTGAATAACGACAGAATAGTGTCTCGATGGCGCGTTATTTGTACGGCTAAACGGGTACAGAACACTGGAAATTGTGATATCAGTTGTTCTTGTGAGTTTGAATAGTCAGCATTGTGTTGCCTAGAAAAAATATTGGGGTGAGGGCTTCTCCTACTAGATACATTTTGTATTTCCAAATCTTTGACGTCTTTATATTCGTGATTTAGTCCAACAATGTCGTCTTCGTCGGGGTCTTTTTCTTTGCGGATGAATTCACTCGATATGTTCAACTATGTTTAAGTTCAGTACATCTACTTGATGCTTGGCTATAGCAAACATATATATCATACTAGATCTTTCATTATCTTCCATAGTAGGTGTTCTCTAAGATAGCCTTCAAATTAAATGAACCTTGCTTTTTACATATGCATAGACGTTCGTGAAACTGTCGAATGACGCTCAAATGACGCTCAAGAGACGCCTAATGGACGATCGTTTACCTTAAGTCCACGTTTTATGCGCTTGAAGACCGTTCAGTGGTCATTGACATGTCGCCAGTGAGTAACTAGTGAGTCGTTCAATGCAAAGCAAACGATAAGTAACAACCAAGCAGCGATTGACTAACGGCTGACTAACGATAGTCGAACGTGTGCAGCACTTGGGGAAAGCTAGTAAACCGTTCAATGAACGTTCTTAAAACGTTTGTGCCGATTCCCGGCGATTACCGACGTTCACTGGCGTTCACATAACGTTCTTCTGGCGCTATCCCAGCAACCATGGGCGACTACCAACGTTTCCTCAAACGTCATAGAACGCTCACCAGAACGTCATGGTGTGACGGCCCCATAAACAAATGCTTCGTCTTCATTAAAGAAGAGCAGAATAATTTACATACTGGGACAGTACAAGTAGAGCAGAAATGAATTGTATCTAAGACTCGTATATCAAATATATTAACATAATATTACGAAACTTGTACGTTTAACGTATTGTATTTATATCTAATTGAGCTGTTCCATTTCACCCATAAATACGCGACAAAGGCTCAAACCTAATATGTTTCATGTGCTAATTTTAAATAAAAGTACAGTTTAAATTGTAACGTTTTATGTAAGTCAATGTCTAAATATTGCCTTTGATAAGGACAACATATAAGCTTAATAAGGGCAATCCCTATTTCCCTGTGGTCAGTTGGTCAAATTTCTTCATAACACTGTCTGATAAACAGATGTCATGTTTACATGAGAAAAATGACCCTTTCTAAATATAAATAGGGTGTCTAGTGTATGTACTTAATAAGTTAGGCATTGTCGATTTCAGACAATTTTAATAGGTCATAAAAATAAACTTCTCAGTTACTACTAGAAAACTTAGGTTTTGCATATTTATGGAATTGTATTACCATTTCTCAATATCAATTGAATGCTGTGATAGAAAGATTGTAAAGTCAATATTATCAAGATTCATACTCAATGATTGATACAATGACAAAACTGAGTACCTATAAAATTATAAAAGATTGCATTGGATTTGAAAAAATATTTGACGTGTGTCAAAACTGATGCTTATCGTATCGCATTGACTAGATTAAGATGTTCATCCCATAGACTTTCAATTGAAGAAGGTCGTTTCAGAAATGTTGTAAGAGAAGATAGAAAATGTATATATTGTAAAATGAATGCTATTGAAAATGAATATCATTTTGTTCTTGTGTGCCCGCATTATCGAGATATAAGAAATGCATGTCTCTGTTGTGCAGCCGAAAAATGATAAAATTCATTTAAAAAAAAAAAGAATAAATATGCATGATGATTTTCTTTTAAACACAAATATTTATATATATAATCATTTTCTAAAAGATATTTGTGTTTAAAAGAAAATCATCATGCATATTTATTCTTTTTTTTTTTAAATGAATTTTATCATTTTTCGGCTGCACAACATCTCCTTAAATATTATTGCCATTGGCCAACGTCTCAGAAATTTAAAACTTTGTTAACTACACAACAGTCGAATGTTTTAAATAAGTTAGCAAAATTTATATATTTAGCAAATATAAAACGCACTGCGTTTACTGATTAGATTTATATTAGTTCAAATGTAATACTGTATTACTTTTTTGCATGTAAAGCACATAATTTTGTTTGTGTGGCCTGATAACATTTCATTTTTGTCCGTACCGATCTTGTATTATACTGGTTTATAATTATACGAGTCGGTAATCGGAATACATTTGTATTTAATCGGACAATGTAGTAGTCACTTGCAAATATATTTATGTGCTGTCGAATTGAAATGTATAAATATGAGTGTTTCCATATACATATATATTATAATTGACATTTATCATCATTCTTTGTATATAACATACTCTTCTCATGATATTTGTTGCCGCCTAATATATTCATTTAGGCAAAAAACTGTATATAATGTGTATATGCCTAATAAAATATTGAATTGAAATTGAATTGAGTTTTGCAAATGAAATATAACATGATTTATACAACAAAATCATAGAGGTTAAAACACGTTCGATGTCATAATTACTACATACTTGATTTAAAGAATGAAATGTAATATACATTGTGTATATAAGAAACGATTTACTGTATGTGAATGTTTTAGTTCTATTTCGAACGAGACCATCAGCATGTACTGTTTCTGTAATACAGCGCCTAAGAGTGGACCATGTTATAATAAGAAGAAATAAAGTTAAAGTTTAAATTAATACATGATTATATAACCAAAATGTAGAAGCAATGGCATTCTTTGATAAAGTAATATACTGAGGCTTATTTGATAATTGTTGTACATGTACAACCCTGTCAGACCTGTGTTAAATACCACAAAAACATCATATGAGCCGTGCCATGACAAAACCAACATAATGGGTTTGCGACCAGCATGGATCCAGACCAGCCTGCGCATCCGCGCAGTCTGATCAGGATCCATGCTGTTCGCTTACAAACCCTATTACAAGTAGAGAAACTGATAGCGAACAACATGGATCCTGATCAGATAGCGCGGATGCGCAGGCTGGTCTGGATCCATGCTGGTCGCAAACCCATTGTGTTGGTTTTGTCGTGACGCGGCTCATTTGTATTAAACTTGTCAATGTCAAGAAGATAGGTATCAGACCACATTTTCCCATTTTTAAAAAGACAGGTTAAAATGTAGTCAATCTCAGGAACAAAAGCGTGGACTAATTCATTGATAACAAGGACGCTGGTAACTAGAGCAGTAAATAAATCGTTCTGTCTTTCTATTCGTTTGCTCTCAAATAACATTTTACTTCTCAAAATAAGCACAAGTATCATGCCCATTTTAGCTTCATTTCACATTGATTCAGTTGTATGCATGTATATAATATTAATAAAGCATGAAAAACATTTTTGTCTGTATTTATCTTACAAAACCAAATCCAAAGTATGCTTACATACTGAAATGGATCACTACATTCATTAAACCGATAGCTTTAAGTTTTTACTCTCTTTACAATGTTTAATATTTATTCATTGTAATATGAAAAATATTCTTCCGGTAGTTTTCTTTATATTTTAAACAATCCAATGATATTTAAGCCCGTGTCATTCCTACCTATTAGCATCTTCTCACTTCCCCTCGGAGCGTGCTTGTCGCTGAGAAGGCACAAGGCATCGGCAGAAGATTTGAAGACTTGGGATTGCGCAAAAGATCAGAACTTGTACTGCGGACCAGCTGTCAATGTCCTGACAAATGCCGAGGGGAGTGACCTTACAAAGAAGGCTGTCAGTCGACGAGGATGGTGTGCTAGGGTGCGTGAGCCCCTAGCACAGATAGACGACTTGAACGGCAGGGTCAATAGCAGTGTTGCTGTTATCAAGCTTGCTTCTTTCCGTTTCTTACTTTCACAAATACGTAAAGGTCAATAAGTTAATATCAAACCAATAATTAAATAATTAGTAATAATCTGTAATAATTATTTCCAGTCATATACACGCGGTTCAATTTGAATATTCAAATTTGCGTTGATTTTCGTCTCTAAATAAGGGATCATCTTTTCAAAAGTAAACATTCCAGTAAAAGTAAAAGTTCAACCATGCCGTATTAATTGATGATAGCAATACCATTCCCGAACCGTTATCTATTACTGTACAATCATTTGTTAGGAAAACCTCCGTGTTAAAGCCTGTGAATTCATGTACAATTGTAGATTGGAAACTTGGTCAAAGAGTTTCATCTATTTACGATAACTTTTAAAATTGACTTTTCAGTCATTTTTACGATTACTAAAATTTGTCTATTTTTTTCTTTTTCAAAACTGTCTGTAGTCCACTGAAAGTCTTTGTCGCACGAACGCCTTGTCATTTAAGTTTCGTTTAGTTTGCCTCTCCTCCTGTATCGGTGATATACTATAGGCCGTATATTGATCTACTCGCGTTTCATTACGAATTGGTTCATTGTCTGCTACTTGTTTAACGTGAAATACAGGTTCAGCTTTGACTGCCTGTGGTTTATCAGCTGTCACTTTAGTTGAACCTTCCACATGCTTACAACATCCACATCCCATTATAACCGTTATAGCAAATAAATGCAAATTACAAATTACTAAAATACTAATAACTAATCATTACTATTCCAACAGATTTATTTATCATGTTAAAGCTTTCTAAAATAGAACAGGACTAGATATTTAAAAGTTTTATGTTTAATAATAACATGGCGTGATATTTGGATATTTCATTTAGTTGATACTTTCACAATAGTGTAACGAAAATAATTTAAACTGTTGTAGTAGCAACCGGGGTCAGAAGTAAGGTTTATAAAGACATCGGATATATACATAATAACAGATTTTGTACAATTATTTAAATAACTTGTTAAAAAGCTTTAACTTAATATAGATAAGAAGTGCTCCATTACCCTATATTTATGTACAAAGAGTTTAAATATTCGAAAATCCAATACATTTAATATGCTTGATATGCACCGAATTTTTAAAATACACAAAATTCTTACTTAATCAGTATATATATTTAACTTAACTTAGACATATTAAACGTCATTTATTTAATAGGAAACCGTTTTATTATTTATTTATTTATTTATTTATTCGTTTGTTCTTCGTTCGTTCGTTCGTTCGTTCGTTCGTTCGTTTCATTTCATTTCATTTCAATTTATTTCATTTCATTTAGAAGAACTTTAGGACCTTAGGAACGGTACTACGGCGCATATTTCCGATCATGTACCGACTTTAGACATTGCTTTAATTTTTAAATATATTTTATTCAGTTTTAGTCAATTTTTGATATTTTTTACCGTTACAGGAACGGAAGCTTGGGTCCCGTTCCCGAGTTTTCATGAGTAGCTCATCAAAACTCATTTCTTATTTAAAACGTGTACAGTGTATCTTCACCAGTAGCTTGTGATCTAATTTACTGTAGATTACACTCATATTAGGGAAAATCATAGGAACTCGAGAACGGGACCGCAGATTGCGGCGCATATTTTCGACTACATTTAACGATTTTTAAAATAACAATTTCTCTAATCTAATATATCTTTTAGTATTATCAGATGTAAAAGGCCTAAAAATTATATTATTATTATTGAACCCAATCTGTCTCTTTTCTGGTCAATTTTATGTTCATTATTAAAAAAAAGAATATACCGTATAATTTGACTGCTTAAATTTTTAAAATTATATTATTTATAATTTTGAGATTTTTGTTTAAGGAAAGAACGGCCCGTCCCATTTTCATGAGTAAGCTATTCAAAGGTCACTATCTTAAAATTTAAACAGACGGTACAGTGATCTTTAATGCTGCGTACAATAATGACAAATTTACTGTAGATACTCATATGGAGAAAATACCAATCAAGTGTCGATATTCACTCATCCTCAGTATGTAATTATATGCAAAAAAATATAGTTTACATACATATCATTATGTACATATATCATTTTCCTCGTTAGTATTCACAAATATCTATATGCGGTAAATATAAAAGAAGCGATTTGAATTTTAAAATGATATCGCAATACTGAGTTTATTGCGTTATAAGTAAGTTAAGCGGGAGGCCTTTGTGCATTACGGGGCGGTGAACATCTTTTCATTTCGATTTGAATAGCTGAATGCCCAACATGAAAAGGTAAAAAACCGAAAGTTACACAAGTAAGAAATTGAGAAATGTTCAATTTATTATAATTCAGACATCTTTCATTCTTGCGTTAAAGTTTTGTAAAATAATGAAAAATACTTGCCATATTTATAATGTATTTAAAATTCATTAGAAATCGGATCTAGGAAAATTGTGTATGATTTTTTTCCTTCAGAGAAATATTAACTTCTTTTTGTAAAAAACATGTATGTATAATATGTGATTTACGTGGTTTCTAATAATTTAACATGAACACGTATATTTTTTATATAAACTGGAGATGCAGCCATTATTGTTCAAACGAAAGCGCTCAACTAATGAGTTCTTTCGGTTTATTGTTCAAGTTGGATTTTACAGCTGCCTAATATTAACAGGTAATCACAACTTAAACAAATCTTAAACAAATTTGTTTGAAAACATAGAATGGAGGCTTAAATCTAAATACGAGCGATTTAAATTTCATTTTCTTTGTTGTAAATGGTTTTATTTCTAGATTTATGAAATTGGCAGATAATAATAAATATATATTAGCACAGTTAAGTCAACTTGGAACAGAAGGTGTTGTTTTAATTTGGTCATGCCCCTCTTTTCCTCGCGCGGCATTTTAAAATTTGTGGCGTAAGATGTCTAGAATTTGAAATACGCAGGGGTAATGGAAATATATATTTTGGTATCTATTTGATTCTTTTAAAAAATAAATAAGCTCCTCCTTAAGGAACAGCCTTATTAAACACACAATTTATTTGTATAAACTTTTCACGCGATATCTTATAATTTCTGCTTATTCTTATGTTTAAAAAATGAAATTTTTTGATGATAAGATACTTAGAGATAGGCAGAGATAATTCTAGTCATTTGTTATCTGTATTTTCTGTAAAACTATAAAAAGACCGAGACCCTGCTTCACTAACCCTTTATTAACATGACCATGATTTAACCATCTTCCATTTGAAACAGTTCATTTAAATTTTCAAATAAGGGTTTTCAATATCAAATACAAAAAAAAATAAAAATAAACGAAAAAAAAACAGATACGAACAGTTCAGAGCCTGTTCAGACTATACGGATGTGCAGGTCGGCCTGGATCTATAGTGGTTTGAAAGACTAATGGTTAAGCACATTATTTGTTTATATTCCACAAGATTTCATTTCTGCAGTCAATCGAATTAAGTTCAGATCTTATGTTCACATGCTGCATAGTGGTTATTGAGGAGTGACTAATAATATTGACGTGCGGCTTATTATAGAAAATAAAACATTCACATTTATAAACTATTTTCAGTGAAAAAAGTAAGTAGATATCAGTTACAATTGCCATTACCATATTTAGTAACCGATGCGATATGCACCATGTCATCTTCGATCACTATACTCATTCAACAAAAAATCTTAAATCTCAAAAGTTTGAATCAATGATGCTTTATTTTGCAAACATCTCTTCCAATCCAGTCGATATATCTATATTAATTTGCTTTAATTTCAGGGTATATGATTGGTATATCATTGCCTAATGGAGACAAAACCACGGATAACATTTCTATCTATAACAATATTGAGATAAACAAAGATCAAGTAAACAGAGGTAACTTTCTTTTTTTCTAACATATTAAATCTTTACATACTCTATTACTACTTCTTTGCTTCTTTAACAATAATATGTGATTAAAAAAGTCCCTAAAGAATCTTCCCTAGACATTTTGCTTGAAATTTTATGCTCGAAGATAATTTGAAGAATACCATCAGTGCCATTTCGTGTATGAGTTACTTTTTTGGTAGAGGTGGGCACGTATTAAGAACATGAGGTCGCAATTTTTACAACAACGCAACAGCTCCGGCACGTGACCAGTTCAATATTAATCAAATAATACTATTTTTGCAGTTTTTGTTAAGTGCAGTTGACATAAATGTGTCTTTCAATTCAAAGAATCGAAATACAATTGTTATAATTTACTTTTTTCAGAACAGCTTCATTATAAAACAACAAGAAAGGTCAAAGTTTTATGCTATATCGTTACATCCCCTACATTTCTATGGACAAGAGCGTTTCATGTAAAACAGACGTGGGGATCAAGATGTGACAAAACACTTTATTTCAGCTCTGTAACTAATAAATACTTTCCTCGATCGGCAAAACTATCAAAGGGACGAGATCTTTTAACAGCCAAATCATTTTTTCTTTTAATATATTTAAAAAACATTTTTAAAATTTTTGATTTTTCAAAAAAGCAGACGATAATCCCTATGTGTTTTGGGGAAAACAAAAAAATTTTCCTAATCATCAAAAGAAGAAATGCTCCTTTATTTTTTGGACATCATTTCTAATTTAATAAAGGGGCGGATATGCAGTGTGGCCCCGGGATTTTTCTATCAGACCCTCACCTTTGGGCCAATGGAACAGACATGTCGTCTGCAGCAAGATGGGGGCCTGAATGTAAAAAGCAAATTTTGCAAATTTAGGGTTGTAATAAAAGGGGACTCGTTCATTACGATGGGGGAAAAATATTTCCACTGTTTTGATCCGGCGTCACATCTTACCGGAAACTATCCGTCATGGTATCTTAGGTATGACGCTGGTGGGGCACTCAAGGTATGCTTTGAATCCTACATTTCACTGTGAAATCAATAATTGTTGTTCAACGATACCGTTTGTAACAAATCAGCACGTTGCTTTTAAAGACGCTGGTTAAGTCTGCTGTATGTTTTTTAAGATACAATGAAGTTTGATCTATGTATACTGAACTAGTCCAATAAGATATGTCTATTTTACAGTAAGGTTTAAATTGATAAGGCGAAAAACAAACATATTAAGATATTTTACAAGAACGTGTTGAAAAAAATTGAATTAATAAATTATTTTATGTTTATTAATTCACTTTCATTAATACAAAAATGTTGTTTGACATATATGTATTTAGACTTTAAATTCATAAATTTATTGAATATCAATTACAGGGCAAGAAGTACATGAGCAAAAACGCAATATCTTTCCATTACGTACGACCAGAAGCGATGTATGCGTACGACTATTTCTTGTATCATGTGAAAATCAATGAATAGATTATAAAAACTGGTTTAGAATAGAATTTTTTCTGGTATTTGTCCCTGCACTTCTTACTAATACGAATGTGCAATAAATTGGATTTTGAGGTACTAGTAACAAGAAATAAAATTCTATGGATAAAATTCCATAGGTATGGTAGACAAATCGTCGCTTGAAAACTGTAATGTTCTATCTCCAAATTTTCCAAAATCAAGTTAAATACACAATTTTGTCCAAAATGGACTGTTCTTTCTCCTTGGCATGTTATATTAGTGCTTCACAGCTTCATAAATAAATTATAACGAAACCATTCTGTTATATCTCCACAAATTTACTATGTCTTGATAAATAGACTGTTCTAACTTAGTGGACTAATCATATCATCGATAAATATCACGTGACCTGTGGGATATATGCAACATACTGTTCTAAATCCAAAATTATCGTATCAAAACATAGCATCAAATCACGTGATAGCAGGACACCCGCCATGTTGTACGAAACATATGAGTTAGATGGTTTGTTGTTTATTTAATATATTAATACTAAATATAAGTATTGAATGATATTATGTATTAATTTATTCCCTCCAATCATTGACATTTTAGTATTAAGTCTTGTAAATTCACTGCATGTAATTAAACAACAAGCAAAACTGATCATGATTTGAAAGTAATTTCGGATGTGTATTTTTGGATAGAAACAACTGTGATTATACAATTTCATCTAACAAATTCGTAAAAAAGAAAATTTGTTATATGTTCTAACGTTTCTTTAACATAAGGTACATTCTGTCTCAGAAACCAATTATTTATCCTTATAACAGACACATATGAGTTTAGAAAATTGACTGTACTCATTGCCAATATGAATCAAAAGCATAAGATGGTTTAGGTTACTGACCAATGTGGAATATTTTGGAAACTATAACAGAACTCCAAATATCAGGCTTTTGAGAGATTAAGATAAAAGCATTTCTGGGGCAAAAAAGGCCTTTAAGAAAATTTATAGATATTATTCGTTTACAAATAATATATGTTTTCGAATGCGTTAATGTTATATAACTAATAGATTGCTTTAAAGTAAACATATTTTATCCCAAAGACAGAAGGAAGAAAAATATTCTTATACATATATTTTGTTTGTCTTGTAATTTGACTTTGAATTTCTAAATGAATATTTATATAGCATTATGTTTGTAATGTTTTTGTACACGAACAATTTTGAAATATGACATTTTTCAAATATTAGTCATGCCTGCTTCACCTTTAAGGTCTTTTCTATTAGATATGTTTTCATTGCCTATTTAAGTTATAGAAACATTTTTTTAACATACCTTCAATTATAAGAACTTCTTACCAACACAAACAGAATGTGTAAAGAGCATTACAAAATAATTACTACTATTTCATACTTTTGGAAGGAATTTGAATTTGACCATCTTTTGAATTTTCATTAAAAAATCTTGAAAGATTTTTCCAGCATTCTAGAAGATTTGAAAGTTTTCTTTTCCCGTTTGCGGCTATAACTTTCTTTTCATAGACATTGAATCACTTTGAATGTGGCCAAAGTTATAAAAATAGATAAAATGTCAACAAAAATTATGTGGGTATTTTATCTTTATTTATTTAAATTATTTGTTTAAATGTCATTTAATAATGTAATGGATTTAAGGATTTTAATAAGATTTCGAATGTCGTAGTTCATGTAGTAAGATACATATGGTCTAAGAAATAGTGTAGTGTCAAAGTCAACTAATTAAGGGATAATTAGCCGAGAGCATTTTTGGTAGCCTTTTAAAGATAAAACATACTGTTTTATATGCTATAAATCAATTTAACTTAAAAGACATAATGTTCTAAGTCACATTGAACACTCTGATTTTAACAATTTTTGAAAAAAGGTTACAAGGACTGTTCTATCTCCAAATGTTTTTTTTAGGTTTTTTAGCGAGGAAAAATTAAAATCCACATATCTTTAACGATATTGAGATGTTCTCTCGACATCACGTTTAGTAGTTTTTAAATTTTCAAAATCCGACATTAAATAAAAAAGTTATGCAATACTAAATCTTTACATGCTTTTTTCTCAAAAACAACAAATTGGCACTTAGAACAAAACGTTTTTCAAGCGACGAAATTTAACAATTTAACAAATTACTCAATACTTTTTTCTGCATCCCAGTTGACAGTTACCTTATTTTTAACATATTCTGTCGTCTCCAATGCACAAAGTATAGATTTATTGGTGGTCATATAAACACACTTCTGATGTTTCTCCAATTCTTCATTCATTAAGTTTGCACTTATTATTACACTCATATCAAAATAGTATTGGATATGCTCGCAATTTAGTTGATAAAGGACTTTAGTTTTAAGTACATTGTTGTTATGCTGACGATCATGTCAACATCTACTCAGGGTCTTTCATATAAAAAAGTTGAACGACACTCTCTTGAGTGAGTTATTTACAAAGCATGTGCACGACAAACTATGCAATAGGAAGAGGTACATGCAGATTTTGCTGGTTTCAACGAGGCTCTCTCGGGATTGGAACCCAAAGTGTGAGAGCAGTGGTTTTTAAATCAACGACCTTAACCACTAAGCCACCTACGCCCCTAAATAAGCTCTTTTAACCATATTTTTTGCCAAAATAAGGAAAAGCCAGATTCTGTAGCAATAATTATATTTATTACACAAATAAACACTGTACATATTTACTTATCACAGCATTTGTTTACTTTAAAACAAATCATGTTTTTATCTATATATAACACTATGGCCACAGTCTAGTACCAACTATATACATGTGTATTTTCTTCAATCAAATATACACATTTAATCATTTATATTATTTAAGTTTGGCATTTCAATAATCAAAACAATGTAGTGAACACACAGCGTCACTTGCTTCAAAACAAATAATTCTCTAGCATCTATACAATACTATAACAGTCGTAGTATAATAAGATATTCTGGATAAACATTTATTTACACATACAAGTAATGTACATGTTTGGTTTAAAGCAACGTCAGTAAAACTATTGTCACACTGTAAATCTTCAATGTTCATAGTGCTGTTTTCATAGTGCAACAGCACTATGCAATAAAAATCAAATTGATAAAATTATATTTAGAATTTCAGATAGTAAATTGAATATAATTATCTAGAGAAAAAAAATGAAGTTTATAATTATGATTAATGTTCATTAATCAATACTTTTTGTCTATGTTAATAAATACATACACAATTAAATTTACCCTTTTAAAATGTATTGAATACAGACTCATAACTTTCAATAACAATAAAATGATGAGAGATCATATATTGGTATAATATCTATACAAACTCCGTTTGAGACATATAACATATAATATTAACTTTATTAATGTAAAATCTCTTAAAAAAAATCATGTTTAGAACACAAAATGTAAGTGTGATAACAAGTGCTTCTTGTGATATATATTCAAGGAAAATTTTAACCTATTTTGTAAAACATCTGAGAAAAATCTTTTCACCTCAGGCTTTTTATGGAGTGAATTGGAAGCACTCACTTTTTTTCAGAACAATTTACCACAAAACATTTCAGCCTATTAACAAAACAGTTTTCTTCTAACCATGTCATGATATTTAGAATAACCCATGTAAGAAAAGTAATTTCCATTTTTGAAGTTTTACCTTTTTCTTAATTTTTTCCTTTTTCCTATGAATTCATCTGTCAATCTTTATTCAAATATGAATTTCATTTGTTTTTTATATCTCTCAGTTTATATTAATGTGCTGCATATTGTTTGAGCAACTGTCCAGCAATGACAAGTCTCTGTATTTCACTTGTTCCCTCGTAGATTTCTGTAATTCTAGCATCTCTATATAATCTCTCAGCCGGCATGCTGGTTACAAAACCCATACCACCTAGTGTTTGTATAGCCTGAAATGAAAAACAAATGAGCCGCGTCATGACAAAACCAATAATGCATTTGCGACCAGCATGGATCCAGACCAGCCTGCGCGTCTGCGCAGTCCGATCAGGATCCATGCTGTTGGCTTACAAACCCTATTACAAGTACAGAAACTGAAAGCGAACAGCATGGATCCTGATCATACTGTGCGGATGCGCAGGCTGGTCTGGATTCATGCTGGACGCAAACCCATCATGTTGGTTTTGTCATGACGCAGCTCAAATTATGTTAATGATTACACAAATACAATTTTCCTATCTAGTTAGGGTCACAGGAACTTGGTTTGGGGTGAAAACCCTTTTGACTGATCAGTAGAACTCAAATTTGTTCAAGTGTAACAATTTTTTAACTTAAAATTCATTTTTTATATTCATACCTGTTGTTTTTGCCTCATGATAATCCTGATTGGGTTTAACAAGGCAACTTTCAATGATAAAGAAATACTTTAGATGCATTATTTCAGGCTCATAAAGGCCAGCTTATTAGTAGAACAAACTAGCACAAGTCAGGTGAATAGCTTCCACACTAGAAATTGTGATGTCAATATTTGGGTTTGAACAAACAGCAGTTAAAGTAAGTGATCAAAGGCAAATGTCTAAGCAACTTCAACCAGTCTGTAACAGAACGCCATGATAGAGAATGACCAAACATGTCAATAAATCTATTTGGGTTATATATATCAGCTAATCTGAAATAAGTTGTTGTATATGTTGTTGTATTTGTTATGCCACTTTTCTTAGTTATACTTTTGGCTGCAGATTTTCTTCCTTATAGTCTTCTTACATTGATATTGTATTCTTAATTTACAGCTTATGCTATGTTGTAAACATTAGAAAAGCGTACAGGTAAAGCATTAACTTTTCTAAAAAATTTTTATGTCTGGGTTTTACGACTCACATATATACTATAGGTCAAATGGCAACTTTCTAGCTTTACTGGAGGTGGAAGACCATAGGTGCCGTTCTGTGTGAATGGGCACCTGAGTAGAACCACCAACGTTCCGTAACCTAGCTGGATAGCTTCCTCACATAAAAGAGAACAAAGTCCACCTATAGCAGTGAGAGGCAAGTGGTTTGAAGTCAACAACCTTGGCGTGCCTCTGTACTAGAGATGAAGACTTTTAGCAATCTATTACTCAAATGGTAAACCATATTAGTAGTCAAATGGTTTAGGAAATAACAAAGTCATAAAACAAAGTCATAAATGAAAGAAAAGTTGTGTAGATCAACAAACCTGATGAGCACAAAATGTGGCAGCTTCTGAAGCAGCAAGTTTAGCCATAGCAGCATCCTGTAACATTAAAGAAGAACATCCATGTTGTGACACCAGACAAAATACAAGCTGCTGTCCTAAAGACAGTGTGCTTGACTTTTCTTAGTACTGGACATTTATACACAAAGACATTTTTTTATAATTTGGAAGTCAAGTAAGGGACATGATCATGTACAAGTTCAAAACATAGTTATGTACTCTTGCCTTATAGTAGAGTTGATAGTCATTGTATTGTGCTGTTGATTCAATGATTCAAATCATTCCTTGGTACAAAAAAAACTTGGAGTTAAAAAAGAAACACTGACATGCAGGAAGAATAGCTTTCATTATTATATAAATATTATGGACTAAGTTAAGCTAAAAAAAAAAAAGAATCTTTTTATACATGGCACAAACTTTTTCTTATCAAAAACAGTTATAGAAACAAGAGCTGTCCGTAAGACAGCGCGCTCGACTTTTTTATTGCTTGCCAATAAAAAAAGTTTTTGCAGTAAAAGGCAATACAAGAATCTCTGTATTTTTAAAGTGAACAATGGCCATGAGCATTAAGATATTTAGTGAAGAATTATTTTACTGAATTGTGTGATACCCTTGAACACTGCAGCAAAGTTTGAAATGTTTAAGTCAAAAGAGGGCTGGTAAGAAAGAAAAAAAAACTTTTTTAGTGCTTGCCTATAATACAAAACATTGACAGTTAAGGGCCATAATTCAAATAAAATCTTTGACAGAATTACCTTCTCCTGGACATGTTTGGGAATCATGATTGTAAACAAGTATTCCAACTTTCAAATTAATATCTCAAACAGTTCAGTCAAAAAGTGGACTGGTACTAAAAACTTAACCAAGATTCTAAGTCGATAAAAGGCCTTAATTTTTAAAACAAATCCTTGACAGAGTTACCTTCTCTTGCGTACAGATGGGGGTAATGATGTGAAATAGCATTAAAAGTTTCAAAGCAATATCTCAAAGGGTTAAGGCAATAAGTGGATTTTACCCATATTCAATGTTATTTTCTAAGTCAAAAAGGGGCATAATTCTGTCAAAAACCTTGACAGAGTTATGTCCTCTTGTCTGTTGATGAAGGTCGTGATGGTAAACAAGTATGGTCAGTTTCAAAGCAATACCTCCAATGGTTTTGAAATAAAGTGAGGTGGTACAAAAAAACTTAACCAAGCTCAATACACTTTCTAAGTCAAAAAAGGGCCATAATTCTGTCAAAAACCTTGACAGAGTTATGTACTCTTGTCTGTAGATGGAGGTTATGATGGTGAACAAGTATGGTAAGTTTCAAAGCCATACTTGTAATACTTCTGAAATAAAGTGGGGTGGTACGAAAAACTTAACCAAGGTGTGACGCCAACGCCGACGCCGGGGCGAGTAGGATAGCTCCCCTTTTCATAGAAAAGTCGAGCTAAAAATGCTTGAACTATTAAAATTTCAACTTTGTTCATAGTTTAACTGAAAGCAATATTAAGATCTTGACTCATTATTGCAGCACTGCAAGTAGCAAAGCTACTGTCAATACCACAGTTTTAGAACAGGTGGGATATTTTCCTCATACATTGTATATATTTGTTTGAAATTAGAAAATCAATTAGAAGACTGCACCAAAAAGAAAGCGTAACATGCTGGTCTAGTACTTATAATACATATCTAACTGCAATACAACTCAACTGAGACCAAGTAAATTTATAGGCACATTATGCTTCAGAAAGGAATAAATTTTTACTTCTTTAAAGATGGAAAGCATAAATTTTATATCTATTTAATAGTTACAGAAAATGTTACATGCTAGTCACCTGAAGAAATTAGCAATAAATGTGAAATTATTTGTCAGAAAAGTAACAAAATGTAAAATATAGTATTTGACTTCAATACAAAATACTTATTCACTATTGCTGTATTTATTGCCAAAAAGCAACAGAGGAAAAAGATGTTTCGGGTTATTGGCCAATGAGTAACATTTTGGGTACTATTAAAGTACAACAAAATTAAAAAGCTTTTGAGAAGTAAAAGCATTTCTATGGCATAATGGGCCTTTAAGAATTTTAAGAGTACATAATCATTTTTTATCATTACAGATCAGAACTGCGAAAAATGTTGATATTTATTTTTATCACACAACCGTGCTGATTTTGCGACTCCGTAAAAATGGTATTGCACGGCCGTGCATATATTTTGACGTGACGTCATTACCGTTATACAAACATAGTGTAAAGACGCGCCAATTGTTAGCGTTAAACTATAGGCGCATCAGTGAAATATGACTCTTTTTACACTTTAAACAGTCTTTATTTTGGGTGTGTGATAAATAGAATATTAAATTCATATAAGTTCAATACTGAATTTATTGCACTCGTTGAATAAAATTATATTATGCTCGCCAGAGGCTCGCATAATATAATTTTATTCAACTCGTGCAATAAATTCAGTATTGAACTTACACTCATTTAATGTCCTCTATATATTTATCAATGCAAGGTTGTGTACCTTGGTATATGGTTTCCCAGCATCCTTCAGCATGGCAGCTTTCCATGTGAGTAGTCTGGCACTTTCTATCTGTACCTCCATATTAGCTAGTTTGTCCTGTAATTCAAGTGTTAAAATGTTTAACTTTATTTCATCCAAAATTGAATCATTTTAATCAAAAACAAGAGGGCCAAGATGGCCCTGAGGTCGCTCACCTGTATATAAGCCCCCCAAACCCCCATCCCCCCCCCAACGTTGCAGAGCCAATTTAACCCAAGGGCTTTTATTTGCACAAACTTGGTAGACACCCATAAGAAGATGTTTCACGCTAAACATTTAAGCTCGAGCTCAATGGGCTTTTTAAAAGAAGATTTTTTTTAAGTTTTTACTATACACATATAGTTAAAAACAATGACACCCCTGGGGCCAGGCCAGTTTTGACCCAAGGGTTTTTATTTGAACAAACTTTGTAGACACTTACTAGAAGATGTTTCATGCTTAATATCTAAACTCTAGCTATTTGGGTTTTTTCAAAGAAGATTTAAAGTTTTGCTAAACACATATAAAGAAAATCAATGACCCCCCGGGGCGGGGCCAATTTTGACCCCTGGGCTTGTATTTGAACAAACTTGGTAGACACCTATTAGAACATGTTTCATGCTAAATATCTTAGCCATAGCTCTTTGAGTTCTTTAAAAGAAGATTTTTTAAGTTTTTACAATATGCATATAGGGAAAATCAATGACCCCCCGGGGCCGGGCCAATTTTGACCCCAGGGCTTTTATTTGAACAAACTTGGTAGACACACACTAGAAGATGTTTCATGCCAAATATCTAAGCTCTAGCTCTTTGAGTTCTTTAAAAGAAGATTTTTAAGTTTTTACTATATGCATATAGGGAAAATCAATGACCCCCGGGGCGGGGCCAATTTTCACCCCAGGGCTTTTATTTGAACAAACTTGGTAGACACCCATTAGAACATGTTTCATGCTAAATATCTTAGCTCTAGCTCTTTAGGTTCTTTAAAAGAAGATTTTTTTAAGTTTTTACTATATGCATATTGGGAAAATCAATGACCCCCCTGGGCAGGGCCAATTTTGACCCCAGGGCTTTTATTTGAACAAACTTGGTAGACACTCACTAGAAGATGTCTCATGCCAAATATCTAAGCTCTAGCTCTTATGGTTTTTTAAAAGAAGATTTTTAAAGTTTTTTCTTTTGGTTGCCATGGCAACCAGAGTTAAGCATGGAATTAAATTCTTTGAACAATTTTGAAAGGTGACCACCAAAGGAACATTCCTGTGAAGTTTAGATGAAATTGGCTTGGTGGTTTATGAGGAGATGTCATTTAAAGTAAAGTTTACGGACGGATGGACGACGGACGGACGACGGACGAAAGGCGATCACAAAAGCTCACCCTATCACTTTGTGACAGGTGAGCTAATAATTTAATTTCAAAGATCACATTTTGCAGTTCTAACCAACAAGACAGCAGAAAAAACAATGGCAACAAAACAGCTCCTAAACAGCATAGTTTCTTGAAATTAAACTTTATCAAATGAAAAAAATATTTTAAAAAACCAAAACAACAAGAATATGTTTGGTAAATAAAAAGTATTTAGTAATCCTTTTTCTAACTGTTTCCTTGCAGAGTTTAACAATATTTCGTCCAACTTTGTTTTAAGCCACATTAGTAATAGTTCACTATAGTCTTCAATCATTTTTCTCATTTTTCAATGTTTTTCTGGTGCAATAGAACCATTTGCTCTAATATGTTTTATTGTGGGCACAAAAGAAGAATCACCAACTCTCAATAGGTATCAAAATAGCTTATACTAACATATTACCAGACAAGCTAAAAATTTGTTCACGGTAAAAAAATTAACCCCAATATGTCCACTCCTATGACTCTTCTTCTGGGTTTACAAATAACCTTACTTACATGGAAAAATTCAATAACTTTTAATCACATATTTATACATTTATAAATTAGAAAAGAATAATAGAAAAGGTCTCGTACCTGAATCATCTGTGTTTTGGATATGGGCTCATTAAAAGCCATTCTCTTTTGGGCATAATCTATTGCACATTCTAAAGCTGCCTGTAATGTGAAAATAGAACAATAATTCTATTTTTTCCTTTCCTGATCAAATGTGATACATTGGACACAGCTCTTTTGATCATTATTGTTTGGAATATGTTTTATTGTTAAATGACTCCACAGGTTACATTTTTACTCTTATCTGCAAATAACTGCATTTATTTAATGCGTAACAGTGAGTGCACAAGTAAAAGTTACAAATAAATTTAAATTTTGCCGTAATTGTGTTCAATTTGATGCAAAAAAAATCCACATGACACGAGAACATTTCTATAAATAGCATTCCAAATGTATTAGTTTTGCTCAAATGACCTCAGCAAGTGTTGTTGAAGCTTGGAACTGCGACAAAATGCTCAAGAGCACTTGAGTTCAAGTAGCACTAACTACATGTATTTTAATCAGACACTGTTTATAGGTATCAACATCATGATGATGTTGCGTTTTTCTTGACTGTGATATGGGTTTGTCATATATATGTTATGACTGTATTTACATACTTTGGTGAAATCTTTTAAATTCTTATGTTCTGTAGTATGTATGTACAGTTATATAGAAGTCTACAAACTTTTTAAACAGTCCTCGTAAATGAGGATTACTATATTTACTCACCTGAGCTATTCCAAGACCTTGTGCAGCTATTCCAATTCTCCCAGCATCCAATGTTTGCTGAAAAAAACACAGAAGGATATAAACTAACACAAATAACTATCACATACATTCAATTCTGTAAAACTCATTAAAATTCAAGCATTTACCCTTTTTTTCCTTAAGCATAATCTATTATCTAATACATTTCAACGAACACAAATAATTTTTTCTTCTTCTTCAAACCATGTTAATTTTTGTAAGTAAACATAATTGTAATTTTGTTTATTTATACATATGTGCAGATAAGGGTGGCTTCCCATCATAATATGAAGGTCTTGAAATGCTTGCTTCTACAGTACAGATGCCCTGACTGAATGGTATGAGGATATAAAGAAAGCCTAAACACAGGATAATCCGATATTTAGTTAATATGCATAAATCACATTATGAAATTGGTGTCTAGGTAATAACTGATATAAAAGTTAACTATTCGCGTATCAATCAATGGATGACCTCCCTAATAATTCATAAAGGTAATGCATATCTTGGGTAACTTAGGGCACATAATAAAAACAAAAGCGCCTTTATATAAAATTTATTTTAGAAATTTGTTTGCACACATATAAAATATGTCATATTTTTCCTAATTACTTTACCATAGCTATTTTAAATCCAAGACCAGGTTCCCCAAGCAAGTTTTCTTTCGGTATTCTACATTCATCAAATATAAGGTTACAGGTTGAGGTGGCCCTTATTCCAAGCTTATCTTCCTTTTGACCTAAAGACAAACCTTCTGTGGGCTTTGGTACTAAAAAGGCACTTATACCCTGAAAATTCAATAAAGTTACCATTCCATATTTGTTAAATAGACAATAAAATCATGTTGAACTGTAAAATTTACCATTGATTGTCAAGGTTATAATTATGTGTTCAAGTTCTGATCGTCATATATCAGAATTAGCATTTTTTGCTAAAATATGTTTTCAAATTACAGTAAAGTTAGCTGAACTAAATCTTAAAATATTTAAAAACCAAAGTTGTAGCTGCAAAAAATACAGGTTATTTAATGATTATGAGATAATTACATGTACATATTTATGGTTATGAGATAAATACACACTTAATGATAATGAGATATCTAACTTGACAATAATTTTACACAACCTACCTTATGCTTTTTACTTTTGTCTGTTGTAGCAAATACCTAAAATGACATTTTAAAATATTAACATCACGATAACTTGTAGAGTATTTTCATAAGACATATCACAAATTCGAGATTCCTGATATATGTATTATACTAACATAAGGTTCTATATATATTTCCAAAGTTCACAAAGAGGTAACATTAAGTAAAGGTCAATGCTAGAAATTACATGTAAGACATTTATTTATTCTGCAACATATACATCCAATGGCAAGATAGAAATAAATTCACAGGCTAAATTGAAACATATGCTGTTGGTAGGACAGCGTGTTTGACTATCCTCGGTGCTTGAAAGTAAAATCAGAGCCTGGAAAATGTAGAAATTTCTATGTTCAAAAAGGACTATCATTCTGTCAAAACCATAATAAGAGTTATGGGCCTTGGATTCTTTTCGGTAGTTTTGAAGATACCAACTTGCATTCAAGAAAATCTTAACCAATGTTTGACGCTGTCACCAACATGGACCCTAACAACTACCCAAATGTTATGACAACGCCTTAACAAGGGTGCACTGAACAGATCCACTATTTTGCTGACAATCAATCTAAAAACTAGTTAATCAATATTTACCACAGTAGCTTCTGATTCATATCCATTTGTTATCCAAGCTTTTGTTCCATTCAAAACCCACTCATCTCCCTCCAGTCTAGCTGTTGTAGAGGCTGCCCCTGCGTCACTACCATTACCTTTAATAATTCATATAATCAATAACAGCATATCTTTTCAAGCCTTTTTGTAAAGGTTTCATTTTACATGCATGTAGCCAGTGTACAAATAACATGGAAAGTTTCCAGTTTTAATGGTTAAGGAAAACTCATTGTATCTCGTTTTAAATTGATAGGGTAGAAAAACTAACGGTGATCTATATGAAGTACCCTGCAACCTTAACCACACAGCTATTGTGTACTAAAACAGAATATAAATTTCATCATAAACCTTCAGTTAGCTTCTAAGATCAAGAAAAAGTTCTGGTTTCATGACAAAATTGCTTGAAGACTCCTAATATGTTAAAACTGAATGTAAAACTGGTTCATTCATATAAAAGTAAAAAAAAATCTTCAATTTCTACTTAAAACATTTGTGATTTTATCTACATAAAGCCATGAAAGATAATAAAGGTCTCATTTAAGAACTAGAACACTGATAAATAGAACTATGCACATAAAGGGAGACCATTCAAATTAAGAATAATTTTGTGAAATGTACAATAGTTCCTTTCCCTGCAATTGACTAAAAATTCTATATTATCATTTGTATAGGTACCTGGCTCACTCAGGGCAAAGCATCCAACTTTTTCCCCATGAAGGAAGGGTTTCATAAAGGTTTCTTTCTGTGCTGGAGTAGCATACATCTTGATAGGTCCGAGGTACAATGACTGGAAATGACAAACAAAAATTCTCAAATCTTTAAAGTTTATATACATGTAGAAATTCTTCTGTTACCCCAATCCCTCGACAGAAATAACTATGTATTGCTATATTTTTGTAATTTCACACATTACTATTAAAATCATTATTACCGCTATCATCATTATAATTAAATATACAAGAATAACAAGAACTATTTAATATGACACTCTTTTCATATACACATGTACATATACATACATCTAAAATGCTTTACAAACCACATGCATCAATTAATACATGCACCAATACACATAACTTATTTACATCCTAGTTAATTTGAAAGTCAAAATCAATTAAAATCATTTTAAAGTAAAAGATATGCCTGCAGGTTGATATTCAGAAGAAAATTTTATGATGATATGTCAATACTACTGAGAGCTGTAGAACAATTTTAAAATAAAAAAAATCCGGTTTGCCCGGGAAAAAAACATAACATAAAATTTTTTAAAAAAATACTGTACATAAAATGCTTTTTTTTAAATTTTTTTTACAAAACCCCATTTCCCCCCAATTAATAAAACCCCTCACAAGGTTCTTTTTAAACATTTAGTGTTTAAATAGTTAAAAGGGGTTTTGGGAAGGGGAATTTTAGTAAATATCCTTTTAATTTTTGGGACGGGGAAAATTACCAACTTTTAAACCTCCGATTTTCATAATTTTCATAAACGGTACAGATAGAAGTGCTTCTTACACAATAAACTAGGCCTAAGGCTAAGAAGCTCAGCTCAGCATCCTTGATGATGTTCCGGCCTGAACACTATATGAACTAGGAATTTTCTATAACCAATAATTTTCTAAGTTAACAAAGGGGAATAATCTGTACAATACAATGCTAGAGTAATGGGTCTTGGTTCAATCATTTACAATTATGATCATGAAGACACATATCATGCATAAAGTTTCAAGGTCACCACTTCAGAGTTACACAAACTTGCATTCTTAGTTCACAAAGGGAGATAATTCAGTGTAATTCTAAACAGCTACACTTGAAATGATGAATCAAATACAATAACCAAAAGGCATTGAAGGTTCAAGTAAATAAGTAAGTGGTTACCATAATGAGAAATGTACATCAGTGGTTACCATAATGAGAAATGTACATCAGTGGTTACCATAATGAGAAATGTACATAAGTGGTTACCATAATGAGAAATGTACATAAGTGGTTACCATAATGAGAAATGTAGCTGTGACCATAGGGTGAACTGAATTCATTCCCTTTAAATAGGCCAAGATAAACACCCACTTACATTATTTACACTCATGATACAGCCAGTTGATGCACATCCTCTACTGATCTCTTCCATGGCTATAGCATATGCTAGATAATCTAAACCTGTACCACCATCTTCCTCTGATATATCAACACACAGTAGTCCCCTTTTTTCCAAACTTTACCCTTAAAATAAAAGAAGTCTTATGTTTTTAAAGGTTTTTCCCTACGATAAAATCATTTGATATATATCTTTTGCGTAAAAAAAAAGGGTTTCCTCAAAGCACCCTTTAAGTTAAAGCTCAAAATGGTAGTTTTTTTTCAAAATTGTCAACTTTTCTTTGTATTTTAATCTAAAAAACTAAAAATTTGAAAATTTTCTGCTGGAAGTGAAACAACTATTCAAAAAACTTTTTAAGTTTTTCCTTAAAAATACAGTGTAACCAGTTTGCCCTTATTAGGAAAAAATTTCATTTTCCCCGAATAAAAATAAGTCATCAAAAGAGGTAGACGCCTTTATCACTAGAAAAAAAACTCCCCTTCCAAAAAAATCTGTAAAACATTTGAAAAATTCCTTGATGAGTTCCCTTTTAAAAAGGCCATAAATGATAAAAACATGGTAGTAAAAAGTTGGGGAAAAAATTGGTTTGTTAATATTTTTTACAATAATAATTTTACATATTTAAAAAATACAAATCATTAAATGGTTTAAATTAAAATTTTTTGTGTAAAAAGACTTAGAAAGACTTTAAAGACCAGAAAAGAAAAATTGGGGGGGGGATAAATTACATCTTTTTGAGTCAAAAATGCTTTGTTTTCCCGCTTTTGAAAAAGGATGCTTTGTCATTTTTAGAGCTAAGGGGGCCCGTTCCCTTTCAGCAAAAACCGGGGTTTTTCCAAAAATTGTGAGTTCTGACAAAATGGAAAACCCCGGGTGAGGAAAAGCACCTAACGCTTCCAGATGCCATCTAAATTTTTTTTTAAAAATTCACAAAGCTAAGTAACGCGTATTTTTCGTAATTACCAATAATTTGAAAATTCACCAAATAAAATAAAATCTTTGCGTAATAAAAACGCAAATCAAAATATCAGTACCCAATTTGTTTTGATACTCTAGCGTATTTCCAATATCTCGGACCGTAATTCACCTAGTAAAAACTGCCAAACAAATCCCAAAATAGCCTGTTTTCCTTTCTGTACTTTCATTTTCCATTTGTTAACCACGTACATTTGAGTAGACTGGTTATATTAAAGTCCTTTTTTCACGGCAAAAGCTTTATATACTTATGAGAGATAACTAAATCGCGGCCCAGACTGAGGTTTTTTTACTTTCTGCTACAACAAAATGGCGAAACGGAGCCGAAAAAAATCAATCATTTCAGCGCAGTCTAAGAAAATATTTGGTTATCTTACCGAGCCAGAGCCTAAGGATGTTGTAAGAAATTTGTTAAATGAACTTTTAGACAATGTTTGTTCGTAGTCTTTGTGTATATTGTTTCCGAGATACTGGACAATACTTTTACCGATGCAAATCTATGCAAATCAATAAATTTTCGATGATACCCAATTTTGTTTCTGTGTTACCCAATTGCTTGTCAAGTCCAGGGGTAAATACCCAATTAACTCAAAAGCTTATCTGTAGCTCTGCACTTCATATTGTATGCTATTCTCTAGTAGATTCGTGACTCTTATTTTGAAAAATTACACTTGCCCAACAAATATCAGACATACATACAGTGCAATTAGTGCTTTTGTTAAATAAACAATCTATAACTCCATGATTTAAATTAGAGACATCTATGGTCAGTCAGCCATGTTTTGAATGGGAGCTTAAACTGAGAGCACTATGGTACGGTGGTATGTTAATTGATGGCCCTTTTTGGATTCAGTAGAACTTTTTGTAACAGAATATGATGTCACTACAGTTTCAGCAGATGACCTTCACTTGTCGGAACATGAAATTTTAAGTTTTACCGTTAAATATGGGGTAAAATAAAGAAGTATTTCTAACACACACCGGCAGCTTTGGATTTTCCTATCAATGACAGAATTTATTTGAAATGAAAAAAATTCTAACAATTTCTATCCAAATTCACAAAAAGCAGCACTTTCACTTTAATGGTGGAAACAGTATTTGGTGGCATTCAATGTGTAAAGAAACAAATTTTCTGATTACATCGGAATGGGCAAGGACGCGGTACCCGCGGGGAGTACTATAACAACAAAAACATTAGCTAGACTCTTCTAGAAAATCTAGGATGTATTTGTATCGTAAATTAAATTATCTGGAAACATTGTCCAATATTTGTTCTCACGTCAATAAATGTTGGAGTCATTGCCTACATACAAAATTCCTAAAACATGTGTTAGGGGTTCACAAAAAAGCATGCAATGATGCTGTTTTAGGTGAATTAGGGAGATTTCCATTATATTTTGATTGCATAATCAGTTGTATTAAGTATTATACAAGGTTAACCAAATCTCCAATTAGTGAACTTTTAAAAAATGCTTATGTTGAAAGTGAAAAATTGTACAATTGTAAAAAAAACAGTTGGTTATCCAATGTATTCTTCATACTAAAATATTTTAAAATACCTGAAAGTCAATATAGTGATAAGCATCTGTATGTTGTTGTTCGAAAACAACTATTGAGCACTTTTAAAATTCGATTTATGGATAAATTAAAAAATGCTGTTGATAATGATGGAAAACTACGTACTTATGCACTGTTTAAAACAAATTTTTGTAGGGAACCTTATTTAGCAGTAATCAAAGATAAAACTATTAGAGCTTGTTTTACAAAGTTAAGGATAAGTTCTCACAAATTACAAATAGAGATTGGGAGATATAAAAAAATCAAGTCTGATAAAAGATTTTGCGAAGTTTGCAACTCAAATGAAGTTGAAGACGAGCTACATTTTGTAACTGCTTGCAATGCTTTTATTAGTCAACGCAGCATTATATATAATGAAATAAAAGATAAGAATTTAAACTTTGAAAAAATGTCTGAAATAAGCAAATTCATTTGGTTAATGAGCAACGAAGATGAAAAAATCATAAAACAATTTGTAGATTTTATTTTTACTTGTTTTAAACTCAGAAATGATAATGGGAAAACATAAATTAATCTAACTTGGTATATATATATATATTTATTCTTTTTTTTTGAGAGAGACATGTGTATTGTACAGTTTTGTTACAAAACAGGTACTGTACGCTATCTGTTTGTGTAAATTAGATGATATATGAAGAGTAAAAACAAAATGTAATTTTCAATTCATATATATATGTAGTTATGATGTTTAATTGTGGTTCGCGGAACCCTGTCGTTTGCTGTGTTTGTTTGTTTTGTTTTTGTTTTCTTTTCTTTAAGTTTATTGTTCTTACTATATCCCGGGACAACCAATATTCAATCAGTTAAGCTGTTTTTAGCCAATAATAAATGGAAGGGGAAATTATACTTTAAATTTATTTTAGCTATTAATGCATCTATTAACACTTATTCATTTTCAGGTTGGTACATTTTCAACAAGTCTTGATCTTTCTTAGAAATTCAATAAAAACAACATGACCCACTTGGGTTAGTCCCAGGAATATTTTAACCTAAATTCAAACAGCAGGGTAATCACCTTGGAAAATTTGTAAAAGATTAATCAGGGCCACTAAAAATTGTAAAAAATTTCACAATAGTCTATTCAACAATTTTCAACAGTTTTTTTTCCAGATTTTAAAAAACTTACACTCAATGTTATAACATATGTACAACACAATGCATTGGTATGACTACTGTCAATGTGTATAAAAAGGCAGTTAAAGGTGTCACTTCTTAGTACGCTATTTGGGGTGCAAAATGATAAATGCATCCAATCTTTACAGCCATTTTACCTTCCCCACTTTATAATATTAGCAAATATGGAAACTTGTCTAGATCTGCCAGCTGGTATCGCTTACAAAACAATTCTTCTACAATCACAGTGAATCATCACATGAAAAAATTTGATAACAATATAAGATTTTATTAATAAGGACCCCAATGTAAAGACTGATGAATATTTAGTGGTACATCATATAAATAAATGTTTAACTACTCCTAGGACTGAGATAAATGGTAAAACTCTTTAGCCAATACTTTATAAAAAAAAATTGACTTGCTAAGAAAATTTTTTACCACTATTTTAACAAGTGTCTATTTTGATATATAGTGAAAGTTGGACAATTTATATTGTGTCACTTAAATCAAACAGTTTCTTATTGTTTTTCTGATAACATCTGACAATTAATCAAGTGTGGCATTTCTGCAAGTTTTGAAGTTAATACAACATGTGAGTTCATACAATTTAGTCCAACATGACATCAGTGCCACAGAATTAAGAATGTGTTTGAATTTAGGTTGTGATTGAAAATTGGTTGTTTCGGGATAATACAAATCAAGTTTTAGTTTCTTTAACGTCTTTATTTGATCTTTGATCTCATTATTATTATAGTGATTCACATGTCATTTAACATGACCCTTGATTGGAAATAAAAGTTATTCTTGCCAAGTGGCAAAATACAGAAGGCCCCATAGGAAATTTTTCGCTGCACGTTACACTTCCTGACCTTTGGCTCTTTACAAAACAAATACCGGTTTACATAACAGATCTATTTTGACAAATATAAGACTCGATAACAATAATTTAAATGAATGTTTGATTAAAGTGTTTTGTATAAATCATACAAAACTGATCATTTATCTCTTACTTCGACGGGTAACCGTGGAATTTCTGACAATTTTATTTAAACTCCTGAACGCAGCCATCTTGAAACGTCTTTTTTAACCTCACGAAAAATAACTTGGCAAAAGTCTTCAGTGCGGAAAGATGCGCGAACATTGTATTACAGAGCGAAATCCGTAAATATAATTAAGATAATTATTTTAGCTGTAATTTTAACTACATGTATGTTATGCTTTGAAATTAATTTTCAAAGGAAATATTTTAATTAATCTAAGCATACTTAGCTGTATTTCTTTCTTTCATATGTTAAAAAGAGGATAGGCCTATATAATGCTAGGTCCTCACCCCCGATCAGATCAACTCGATCGTCCCGATCATATTAATTCCCCGATAAAGCCCGACCAAGCTGGATTAAATGCACATTCACGACTCCTACACGACATCAAGTCGACCCTACACGATGTTTTACGAGTTCTTCTCGACTACAACCCGACCAACATCCCGACTTCTTCTCGATCAGCCAGACCAATACGCAATTAAGTCATATATACACGATCTCAACTAGACTAACTGGACCTCTGCCCGATCGTTGCCAGATTTCCACCCGACCATATTTATTTTATTTATTATTTTTATTTATTATCCTCCATAATACATGAAGATTTGAACGACAATTACACAACCAGTTTTCAAATAACTACAGACAGAACAAGTATACAAATGTGATATATACATTACAAGAAACAAATGCAAGTAATCTATAAAATGTATACATTGGACAGCACAATTACATGATTTGCCCCTAACTGAAAAGTATAGCACTGAATAAGAATTAAGACGTGGAAAAATACTTGTATATATATATAATTTAGACTTCGTCTAACCCTAGTACGAAAACGAAACACTAGGAAATAGAGAGCAGGGAAACAAATCTACAAGTTTTAATTCAATGACATTTTTATGAAAACCTAGACCAGTTCACTAGATAATTTCATAATCAATATAAACGGTTACTGTTTAATTCACTACTATAGTAATCCAAGTTACACTGATTGAACTGATTGAATAATTCATTAAAAATATTTTTAAGCAATGCTAAACCACGGATTTATATTACATGTAATATAAATCCGTGGCTAAACGGAAAGTTCTGATGTTTGAAATGAATTATTTAACAAAATTACTTTTAATTCCTATAACCACTTAATTAATGGTAAATATCATCTGGAACATACTGGATTTTTTTTTGACATGTCAAAAAATTCGGGTAGGAAGCCCAAGCCATGCCGACCAAGGCAGACCACTCCGACCACCCCCGATCACGCACGCAGACCGAGCTAGACCGGTACCCGATCATATGATCGTGCTTGATCAAGTTAATCTGATCGGCGGTGAGAACACAGCATAATTCTGTCAGAAATGTTGGTGTGTTTTGGGGGGTAAGCATTTTTTCGTTTAAGATATGATTAATTGCATACAGTTAATTTAGACAAGTTATAAACAGTTGACGTCAAGTTCCAAGTAATTATTTATCTTATTCAAAGAGTGAATTAAAGCAACCTGACTCCGTAAATAACAAACAAACAAAATCACACAAAACAACAATACCACCAACAACAAGCAATGCATCATAAACTTGATGGTTTAGATAAAATTGTGCAGAATTTTGTATTCTATTGCTTTTTAAATAAGTTATTATACATGCCAACATATCATACGAGAAATGCATTTTAATGAATACGACACATTGTTACAGCCACTTGAATAAATCAGCCATTCAAAAAATTCATATTGATATTGAAATGGTATTTAACGTTGTTAATCTAAATTTGAGCCGCGTCACGACAAAACCAACATAATGGGTTTGCGACCAGCATGGATCCAGACCAGCCTGAGCATCCGCGCAGTCTGATCAGGATCTATGCTGTTCGCTTACCAACCCTATCACAAGTAGAGTAACTGATAGCGGAGGCTGCAGGTCTGGATCCATGCTGGTCTCAAACCCATTATGTTGGTTTTGTCGTGACGCGGCTCATTTTATTATTGACAACGCAGTTTCAGGCCTACTCGTCTTGTTTTACATATTGTTTAAATAACATGCCTACGCGCGATACTGAATCATTAATGTAAAACTAATTCTCTGTGATTAAAATTCATCTAAAATAATAATATTTCAAAGGTGATGCATCTGACTGAAGATTTTGACTAAGTGAACACGACCAAATATGTATTATTTCTTGTTAGAAATTGGGTAAAATATGTCACTTTCTTAACCTTGTTTAGCAGATTGTTTAGAAGCTATCGTTAAGATATTTATTTACATCTAAATAGATCTACATATCGATAATTTTAACTGTCATAACTGTATCATCGCAAAACTTAGTGATTGTCTCAGTACAGTATAATGGAGCTTAACTATAAACAACTGCTGATGATTTTAGTTGCTATAGCATCTGAATCAAAGTCTGAAGTCACTTATTTTGGAAACATGATCTTGACAGATGGACCAGAAAATAATTCAGAGCTATATACGTTTGAAATGGCCTTAAAGGAAAATGTTGAACACTGCATTGTGTCATGTAAGACTAAGAAACAATGTAAGTTTATAAATTATGATCATCGGGCCAAACTTTGCTATCATATTACCTGTGATAGCACTAAGTTTCTGACTGAATACGATAGCAACATTAAAGACTATTTAATTCGGAAACCTGGATTCAGTTATGGCGATAAGAGAGACTGGGACATGGTGAGAACTTGTTTTGTCATCAAAGAACATTTTCTTTTATAATACATTTGTTGGTAATTTAGGTAACTAGCTTAGTTTTGTTATCAAAGTATATTTTCTTTTTAACATGTGTTGGTAATTTAATTAGGTAAATAGCTTAGTTTTGTTTTCAAAGATCATTTTCTTTTTAACATGTTTTGGTAATTTCAGTAAATAGCTAAGTTTTGTTATCAAAGAACATTTTCTTTTTAACATGTGTTGGTAATTTCAGTAAATAGCTTAATTTTGTTGTCAAAGATCATTTTCTTTTTAACATGTGTTGGTAATTTCAGTAAATAGCTTAGTTTTGTTGTCAAAGAACATTTTCTTTTTAACATGTGTTGGTAATTTCAGTAAATAGCTTAGTTTTGTTATCAAAGAACATTTTCTTTTTAACATGTGTTGGTAATTTCAGTAAATAGCTTAGTTTTGTTATCAAAGAACATTTTCTTTTTAACATGTGTTGGTAATTTCAGTAAATAGCTTAGTTTTGTTATCAAAGAACATTTTCTTTTTAACATGTGTTGGTAATTTCAGTAAATAGCTAAGTTTTGTTATCAAAGATCATTTTCTTTTTAACATGTTTTGGTAATTTCAGTAAATAGCTAAGTTTTGTTATCAAAGAACATTTTCTTTTTAACATGTGTTGGTAATTTCAGTAAATAGCTAAGTTTTGTACTCAAAGAACATTTTCTTTTTAACATGTGTTGGTAATTTCAGTAAATAGCTAAGTTTTGTGATCAAAGAACATTTTCTTTTATACATTTGTTGGTAATTTAGGTAAATAGCTTAGTTTTGATATCAAAGAACATTTTATTTAAAACATTTGTTGGTAATTTAGGTAAATACATGTAGCTTAGTTTTGATATCAAAGAACATTTTCTTTTAAACATTTGTTGGTAATTTAGGTAAATACATGTAGCTTAGTTTTGATATCAAAGAACGTTTTCTTTAAAACATTTGTTGGTAATTTAGGTAAGTGACTTAGTTTTGTTATCAAAGAACATTTTCTGTTAAACATTTGTTTTTAATTTAGGTAAATAGTTTAGTTTTGTTATCAAAGAACATTTTCTTTTATACATTTGTTGGTAATTAAGGTAAATAACTTAGTTTTGTTATAAAAGTACATTTTCTTTTAAACTTTTGTTGTTTAACTAGGTAGATAGCTTAGTTTTGTTATCAAAGTACATTTTCTTTTAAACATTTGTTGGTAATTTAGGTAAATACATGTAGCTTAGTTTTGTTATCAAAGTACATTTTCTTTTAAACATTTGTTGGTAATTTAGGTGAATACATGTAGCTTAGTTTTGTTATCAAAGTACATTTTCATTTTAACATTTGTTGGTACTTTAGGTAAGCGGCTTAGTTTTGTTATCAAAGAACTATTGTTCTATTGTTTTGTTATTATACTGTGAAATAATAGCTGATTTATATCAGCTTCTTAACAAAAACCTAGTATTTATTTTAAAGCGTTGTTGCACAACGCGCTTAAGACAGCAGTAATAATAACAATGATAATTATAAACTCTTTATTTAACGAAGTTAGCTTATCAAGACAATATATCAAAGCATCAGAGATAACACATACAATGCAAAATCTTATTTTCAACAAAGCCAGTGAATTATGACAACAAGCATAATTTAAAAGATGACAAAACGTTTGCGGAAAAAACGAGTATTGCGTTGCATTTTTTTTGATAAAAAGACATATATTTTGGTGCAATAATGTAGTATTAATCTATTATATAAGAAGACAAAAAACTGATAAACCAATGAAACTATTTTTTCTTGTATTTATATACTGGTCAATGACTGAATATTATCAACAGTGTCATGTCCTTTTCTAAAACCATTTTGACGCTTGTTACGTCGTATAGAATACTATTTTCAGTCAGAGCAAATGTATATTATGTCAGTCATTTCAGATATTCATAAATATTAACCGATCGAGAACTTTATTCTATATTTAGACTGGTTATGAGAACTGTTCAAACTGCCATGATTATGGTGTCTGCCAAGTTAACAGCGAAGACAAAGATTTCAAGTGCCTCAACTCGGGTAAGAGTTTTATTTTATTTTTGGAGTATTCATAAACAGCATTATAATGATTTAACCTCTGAACATAGATATACGAAATCAATATTTTCTATCAAGGGTGATAGCTTGTTTTATTAATCAAGATTTCTATATTCACATTCATTTTCCAAGGTATGTGTTATTTGTAGAAATGTTGTTTCGTTCTTAGAGACATCCTGTAGTCGATCAGCAACTCTATTATCCATATGTATCGATTTTTTAAATGAATATAATTTCTTATTTTCCAGGGTGCAAACGACCTGATATGAAAAAGAACGCCATTTTGCGCGGGAACATGTACTCAATAGGTAATAAGATTGAGTATGAATGTAAGGAAGGCTTCAATAAGGCAACCCCAAAACCAATGACGTCAGTGTGCCTTGATAATGGGTCGTGGAGTACTGTTGGAGTAGAATGCTTACCCGGTTGGTATTTTGGTTTTGAAATTATTGAGTAGTATAATCAGTATTTATATAGTATTTTGAATGGAAGACCATTCAAAATACTAGATCATTGTCAATAAGCAAATAGAAGCAATAGATGGTTCATGTAGTTTTCCTATGAGTTACTTTTTTGACGTCAAAAAGAAAAAAGCTTTCGAGTAATAAAATTAATTTAAGCATTTCTTTTTTAGGCATATTGGGCCTATTATATCATATTAGATCTAGTATGAATAGGGGAAAAAACTTACAATAATATTAAAAATGTTCACAAACAAAATAACTGATATTTAAGAATTTTTTTAATGAATTATTATTCAAAATATTCCGTTTTATCGAAAATTTACCTTTTTTCGTCTCTCAATTTAAGTACGAGTTCAAACATTTTTATCATTTATAATTCTATCTAAATACAAATGATTATACTTAGCGATAAAAATCGTCGAAATACACTCCATTTTTTACCAAAAACAGAACCATTTTTACTGACATAATTACTTTACTATACTTATAATTAATTTGAATTAATTTATTCATTGGATTTTATTGATAAAACGTAACAGATACAAACTCAGTCGAATACATACATTATAGATTATAATGAAAAATTCCATTTTTTTAAATCATAGAAGCCGCCTTTGATGACGATGCATATACATTTGACAACAAAGTCTACAAAATCATCCTGGAGAGATCATATAGCTGGGACGAGGCAGATGTAGGTTTTTTTAATTCTTAGTTATAATTACATAATTAGTACTTATTCTTAATTCATTTAGCAGACAAAAATAAATAAATTTAATGAAAATAAACGGTATTGTTTTATTTATCATGTACAAAAACAATTGTATAATTTCACTTTGAATGAATAAAGTTAAAAAAAAAAAAAACACATACCCAAGCAGCTCTTAAGATAACAGTGAACATGTAATAGAAAGAGCACCGAAACACGAGGCTATCTGATTTGTACGAGGGGGCGTAGCACCCGAGTATTAATCAGATTGCCGAGTGTTTTGTTGTTCTTTCTCTTTTGTATCATAGTCAAACATAAAAGCACGTTCCCTGTTGTCACAATATGAAACCCCGGCAAAAATGAACCAATGAACGAATATCTGAATATGATATTTCCATCGCTATCCCTTTCTCTGTCGTCACAATATGTAAACCCCGGACAAAATGAACCAATCAATGGGCATGCTCTGGAGTGCGGGTAACTAATACCTGCACCCCAGTTAACGCACTGTGCATGTATATTCATGTCACATTTTTAACAGAAAGGTACAAGTAATAGAAAGAGCATCGAAACACGAGGCTATCTGATTTGTACGAGGGGGCATAGCCCCCAAGTATTAATCAGATTGCCGAGTGTTTTGATGTTCTTTCTCTTTTGTATCATTCCCTGTTGTCACAATATGAAACCCCGGCAAAAAGGAACCAATGAACGAACATCTGAATTTGATTTTTCTGTCGCTTCCCCTTACTCTGCCGTCACAATATGTAAACCCCAGCAAAAATGAGCCAATCAATGGACATGCTCTGGAGTGCGGGTAACTAATACCTGCACTCCAGTTAATGCACTGTGCATGTATATGTATACGATTTAACTCTAACACATTTTCAACAGAAAGGTCCCCAAACTATGATACAATGTATTTTATTGTTGTCTTACAATTATTATTACAACAATATTTTCAAACTATTTTAAAGATAGAACGTCTAGGAAAAGAAATTATTTTTATCTATTATTTTTATAACTATTATTATCATTATTTTTATTTATTTATTTATCTATTTGCTTTAAACATCAGAAGATTTGCAAAATACGGACAATGCAACTAGTAAATATCAAAGGAGCTGAGGAACAAGACTACATTATAAAACTCATTAGGGAAAGTAAGTTAAGAAATATTTAAAACAAAACACAAACAAAAAAACAAACAATTATTTATTCATCGTTAAGTCTTTTTTTTATTTTAAACTATTTATACTTTCTACTTTAATTTTGATCGACTTAAAAATAAGTAAAATCAAGGCAACTCATAATGTTTAAAATGTTAAATACTGATGCATTTTGTGCAAGTTTTTTGCCCGAGCAAATCGGATATTCTGTTCTGATAAATAACAGATATACATATGTGACGCATATAAACATTTTCTTGTTTTATAAATGTTTATGATCAAATATATAGTAACACGTTATATTACGTGCTGAAATGATTAAACTTAAAACACATTCAATTCAATCAGTATCACAAAAGTTTGAACAGATATGTCATATCAAAATATACAAATCTGCATATATTGTTAAACAATAGCAAACGTAATTTTAATACTTATGTCAAGAATTTGAGAGATTAAAATACCAGAGAATGCCCGTGATGAAACGACAAAAAATCATTGGAGCTTCATATGAATAAAACAATTGAATTCCAATGCATGCTTGATAAATACACTTTAAAATCTACAGTTAATGCGATTTTTACGGGCAATATTTTTTTGCTTTTTAATTACAGACTCGTTTAACGCATATTGTTTCTGGACTGGTGGTAGAGCAAATACAGATGGAACTTTGGTGTGGCGAGACGGCTTAAAAATTCCTGTTGGGGATGAAGGCGGACACTGGTATAAAAACGAACCAAGTAGTCCGAAAACGGAGAAGTGTGTACAGTTGAGGAAATGGTTTGGTTTCAAATGGAACGACGAAAGTTGTCAATCGTTGTGTTTCGCAATTTGTGAATTAATTTTTTGATTAAAAAAAAGACATTTCTGAAGTTGATTTAGTTTTAACAGTGAAGGAAATCGTAAAACCAAGCTAAATTAAAAGAGACACTCATACATTTTTTGTGGTTGTTGTTGTTAGTTGCCTTTATTTTTGATATTCAGTAGATTTCAAATTACATCAAACTGACACTTTTTTCGAATCATTAAAAGAATAAGTAGTCAATGACTCAAATTATTTTCTTTCAAATCGAAATGTACATTGTACTAGTGTTTTTCAGTGGTATTTTTCATTTGAAATTCAACCATTAGATTCCTATACATTACTATATATTTTATAAGTAAAGTGGTGAAGACCTGCTATTTTCAAAACAGTATCTGCTTTGTTGAAATGTATCTATTCCAAGTACTTAGTATAAATGACCCATTGCTACTGTAGATAATTTTAGCGTATCGTATTATTTCATTTTGAATGAAGTTCAAACAAGTAAATATGTTTCAATTGTAATCACCTAAGAGGGACAACCATTAACCCTTAAAGAGACTACGATGTTCCGAAACGGCTATCGTTTCTTCACATCCACGGTCTTTGATAAACATAAAACATCAAAACAACATGCCAAAGCGATCAAGACGATGCACCAAAGGCGACGACATGTTGTATATTGGCTGATCGGCGCGTCGGTCCGGCGTATCATTTCTTTGCTTCAAATAGCGTTTTAGGTAAAAAAAAATGTATATTCTTACACGCTCCACACTATTCTCCTATCTATTGGCATTTTGCGCGTTGCGTTGTCGATAGCGACAAGACAACCTATATCGTTATCGCCTTTTCGTCCTGTCATCTTGTCGCTAGCGAAGCACGCCAAACGGCGTGTTGTCGTGCGACGCGTTGTCGCGATGTCTCCTCGTTGCTTGGCATTGCATCAATGCTTTTCTTGTAGTTATTTATATCATTCTTGCATATCAGACTGGATAATCTACTGTTAACTCTTGTGCTTACATCCCATATAAGACAAGCCGTGTGTTTTAAATGATGTCATTCTCACGCGCCATTTAAAAATGAATTGCGTTGTTAGGATAACGTTATTTTGCCGTTATAAGGTTGAAAATTCATAAGCTGCTATAAGAAAAGCAAAGCCTCGTTATCACCGCCAACAGCTACCCTCGTGCTAGATATGGCAGCCATTGTTAGATCCTTATCTTGAATATCCACGTTTGTCAGTAAGTGGCAATGTTTTGTAGATCTATAAGTAAATATAAAATTCAAATCTTTTGTATAATTATTAATTTTGTCTTTTTTAGGAATAGAATCTATCAAGAGAATGAACACTGTTTATTAAAAAAAAATGTGTATTATATTGAAAAGAGTTTGTATTTTATAAAAGACACTTGAACTCTACGAAATACAATAATGTAATAATTGTAATATAGAATTTATCTCACGTGTATGGAAGTTATTACACATGAAACTGAAATCTAGACAATTAGTTATACAAGTTGTTAACAGGATATACAGGAGAACATAGCCTGAATGAAATTCATATATCTCTTGGCGAATTTATTGTTATTGACGGCAAGTTTACAAGAAAACCTTGCAACTTTAGACTGTTTCAAAGAAAACCGGGACAAAGACACATGTTAACAAGATGAGGCCAATCGTTCAACGGGTACGCGAACACTGCACAGTATATAGTTATTATACCCCCATCACAAAATGCTTTATTTGCATTCTAAGTGTGACAAATCAAGAGCAGCGCATTCACAACAAATTGTATTAAATGAAAAGTCGTTTGTTTTCTTCAAAAGAGAAACTTAATTGTTCAAAATTGTTCCTATCCTCAATAACCAAAATCAGCAGTGTGTAACTTCTACAACTTACATTTTAAAAACCAATTAGTATATGTAATTATAAAAGATATTATAATAGTAGTTTAACTTTTATACATAAAAGATCATTTTTAACATTTTAACATTCAAGCAGTTAACATTGTTGTTATCTCAATTGTATCCAACTAATCAACGTGTATCACCTGTAATCAATATAACGTTGGAAATCATTATTATAAATTCCAAAATCGGTTTGTTACATACATTGGCATCCTGTTTGTCAATAATGTTATATTTTTCAAATGCTTTAATATTGGCAACACAGAAGAATCATGAATTGTACTGGACAATGTTTTAGGAGTATCAGGTTTCCAGTCTTGTATACGTGATCCCCAGTAATGATTCATTCTTGCTATATTAGGTTTTATATCCACTGATTGTCCCTTTGCCAGTTTATTATGATGCAGTCCTACATGTGTCACTAATTGTGCCATGCAAAGAGGTTTGTCAAGTCCATTGGCACGATTAGGCATTCTACGTTGCAACCTTTGTATTAGCCAATGCTCTTCTGTAGGGTAACTAATAAAAAGAAAATTTTGGAAAGAAAGTTCAGAACAGCTCGGTTTCTGTTTCTGAACTTGTTGTATCAAACGTTTCAAGAAACCCTTTTTAGTGTCCTTGGGTACGAATGGATACTCATCCATGTCCATATGGAGATGCCATTCGCAATCAGTCTTGTAGTGATCTATAGCATGCTGATAAGCATTTGCTTGGGACGTATGTATATCGTATGTTCTGTCAAAATACCAGTCATGATAAACGACTTCTCCTGGTTCAAATATCTGCTTTGTCCAATAGTCTAGTTTTTCTTCCTCACGTTCATATGCATCATACAGGTATACCTTGTCAGCCCCTGCAAACTGAACATACCGAATCCACTGTTCCAATTCATAAGCCGTTAATTCTGGTTTGTCATCGCGATAAATACGAACTCTGATAACGGCGGCAATACATTTCGGCAGTAATCTGCTAGCTTGTTCAATAGGTCCAATATTCATTTGATCTACTTTACCTTTTACTTCTTTGTTGCTTGTTTCTTTATGGCTTGTCTGATATAAAAGTTCATTGTTGCTATCAATTTGTTTTGTTCGACTTAAAAGCTTGGTTTCTGCGTTGCTTTGCACTAATTTC